CTACACTTGGCTCTATTGAATTGCATGCAGAAAGAATTATAGTTTATCCAGTTCAAAGGCTGGTTGACATCTCATGGGTAGAAGAAATAGGTTCTTCACTCAGAGGATATTCTTTTGACTATGGAAGGTCTGTTGCAAATGATGGGGAGACATACAACTTAAACCCAAAACTTGAACATGTTGGTTTCTCTATTAGATTTCTTTGATAAAGTCTTTTACTGGCTTTAGGAGGGCATATGGAAATATATGTATACATTTCTACGAACGCCTGGTGCCTGTCTGGATTTAAAGAAAATAATAAAAGCTCATTGACGGTGAATATATCTACAATATCAAATAGAACTAAAAGATTAAGGAGATGTTACTGCTTAGCAATTGATTTTGTTGTGGGAGTTTAGTCTAAATTTCACCAGTTTCCCCAAAAAAATCACTTAAGCAGGCATTAGGGAAAAAAAAATCCAGCCACGTTTTTTACTTTGGTCAGGAACTAAAGGTTTCTGCCTATTATTATTCTGAATAAATTATGCAAATTAATTATAGTTTTAAAAGCAAGACAGAGATTTGTCTCAGTAGGAGCAGTCCATAAACCGTATTCTTCAAACATTTTTATTTATTTCTGGTGCTACTGGCTTTCATCCACTACAGAATAATTAGTCTTATTTGTCATTGAATTAAAGAAAAACAAATAATGAGGAAACTATATCTTCCCAAATTCTTCATCTTGTCAGTTTGATTGTTACTAAAAAATACTACTCAAACCAATTTTCATATTTGAATGTGTTTAATTGAATTAATTCCAGTATAGCTGTGTGGTGTCTTATCTCATGAAGTCTAATTTAAATCTAATAAGGTGTGTAGAATTTAAATGGTTTGAAAGTAACATGGATGTTTTTTGTATGATTTGTGACACAGAAGTCTTTGGAAGTCCTTCAATTTAAAGTTGTTACTTTTTCTTTCATGAGGAAAGAAGGTGTTTGGGGTTTTATTTTGGAGTAGATTCTGTTCTTTCATGATTAAGTTGGTTTTCACTGCAATGATAGATTAATTTTATTGGGTGTTTATTGGTCATGTATTTTAGAATGTATTTGACATCTTGCACACATGTTGTGTGTTAGTTTAATCTTTATTGGTAAAGTGAATTGGTTGATGTTAGCAAATACAGTAATTTTCAGTTAATTTTTCCTTTAGCTGCTTGTTCAGCATTATGGAGGTTGTAGATCCCTACGTTCTAGCTCTGACATTACAGTTGACAGAAATTCCAGCCTTGTCGAATATAGTTTCCCGTCTCTTACAGTTGTGCTTGAGCAACCATATGTGGGATTGAGATTTAAGCAGATCACTGAAATTTGGACACACAAAACCAGTCTGAAACTTTCTATCTAAATGTTACTTGTAACTGAAAATGTTCAGTGATACATTTTACAGTATAATTTAAAAGGTTATAATTTAACTGCTGCATATAGAGAACATCTAGGTAGTAAATGATATGTTTATTTTTAAGTGGCATATTTTATATCTAATGTCTTCATTCTGAAGCTCAGCACAATGATGTGAGCGTGGCTCTAACAACGCTGATGTCGTGGGTTCGATTCCCGTTCGGTCCCCATGTGTTGCCTGATCTAGTCGAGAGGTGACGTCCCTGGCGGCAGGGAGGCTGGATTAAAATGATCTCTAAGGTCCCTTCCAGCTTAGGCCATTCTGTGATTTGTGTGGAGTGTTGTGTGGAGTGTTGTGTGTTGTTTTTTGTAGAGTGTGAATTCATGTTCATCCATTTGGCTTTGTTTCCAGAATTTCTGATCCCCTAGTGATTTTAATAATTCTTTGAGCTTCATTACTAGGATAAAGATGTAGATTTTTTGTTCTTGTGTGAGCAAGATTACAAGCTGTTACTGATCTGTGCTTCTATTAATAAACTGGATGTCAATTCTTAAATACAAGCCTATGATGAATTCTTAATATTGGGAAATTAAGGCTTCAGAAATTGATTTTTTTTTAAAAAAAGTACAATTCTGGCAATAACTTATATCTGCATCTTATTTCAGCCATCTCGGCTATATGTCTTCTGATGTACATCTAATCGAGTACATGCTGCTTTTCTTTATAATACTGAGGCTTTTATCAATGAACAATAACAGTTTCATTTGGAAATTCATCAGGAATATGAGATTCCTGCCTTGCTTACAGAAGAAGTTAGAGGAGATATGTGTTACATCAGGGCAGGATACTGTGGGAAAGTATTTTTTCATTGTTATCGTAATGGCTGCGTATCATAGCAGGTGGTGCAGCAGTTGAAGAGGAGAGGATCTGTAAAGTGGTGCTGAAAAGCCAATATTTGTACTAGATGTACTTCAGCAGTTTTATTTCAGACTAGCGTTAGCCTGGTCCTGTGGACTTGAATGCCCATTAGCTATTGGAGTCTAGTCAGGTAGAGGCAAGGTTTTGATTCAGGCATTTAGAAGCTGTCCCGTTGTGGTAACTAAGGAACGGTAA